AGACAGTAGAACAATATCTTTAATCAGCTCAAAGAAAATGTTCCTTGACTTACAATGGGGCTACATCTAGACAAACCTAACATAAATTCAATATATCATAAGTCTAAAATACATTTAACCAGGCAGTGGTGCATGCTTGTAATCCCAGCTACTCAGAAGGCTGAAGCAGGAGGATAGCAAGACACTGTCTCAAAATAAAAAGTAAAAAGGTCTAGAGATGTCCTTAATGGGAGAGCTTTTGGATTTAATTCTCAATACAAACCTTTCAAGAGCATAGTTTAGCCACACCATAGAGGTTTCAGTTGTTTACACCCACATCTGCATGATGGACTGGGTGCTATGGCTCACGCCCACTGTCACTACCACACAGAACATGCTATGTATTACAGAAAAAGTTCAAAATTCAAAGTCCAGTTTCTACTGGCTGCGCATTACTTCCACACCATCAAAATGTCAAACCCTAAGTCAGATCTGTAACTGCCAGCCTAGTTCAGCACACAACGAAAGTACCAAAGAATGAAGATGGGAAAAAAATGAAGATGAAATAAAGACATTTCCAGACAAGCAAAACTTGAAAGTAAGCCTCTAGTTAACTTTCTCCAAAAAAGTTTAAAGGATGAACTTTTAGCAGAAGGGAAGTACAGTGCTCCTTCACTTGTCCAAAGTTTTGTTTTCGCTGGGTTTCAACTATCCATGGTCTCAGTTACCACTGTCAGTTGCCAGGTACTATTAACAAGTGAGGAATTGGAAGAACCTGTTGAGTCATTTACAGATGAAGAGGAAGGTGAAAAAGAAGAAAGTGTATTTAAAGTGGGGGGGAGGCTTTGAGCGGGTTCAATGGGAATGTGTCTTTTACTGTAATAAAAAATTTTAATTAAAAAAATAAGAAAAAAAGAAACTGAGTCAGGTGTGGTAGCACACAGCTGTATTCCCAGATATCCAGGCGGCTGAGGCAGGAGGACTACAAGTTCAAGGCCAGCCTGGGAAATAATGAGATCCTATTTCAAAACAGGAAGGAAAGAAGGAAAGGAGAAAGGAAAGAAGAGAGGGAGAAAGGGAAGGAGGGAAGGAAGAAAGGACAGAAGAAGAGGAGGCAGAGAAGAAGAAGAAGGAGGAGGAGGGACAAGGACAGGAGCGGGAGAGGGAGGGAAAGGAGAAGGTGAAGGGGAGAAAGAGGAGGAAAAGAAATTGAGCAGAACCAGCAATGAAAACATTACCAAAATTTGCCAAAATGTTTCAAATTGTAAAAGCATTTCTGAAGCATTAACTTCTCCAGCAACAATTTGATGAGATAAAAAGAGACAACAACTTCTGGGCTGGGGATTTAGCTCAGTGGTGCCGCCACCTGTCTTGCAAGAGCAAGGTCCTGAGTTCAATCCCTGGTACCTGCCTCACCCCCCTCACCCCCCCCCAAAAAAGAAAAAACAAGAGACAACAACTTCTGATTGCAATGTTCTTCCAAAAAGCATCTCCCAGGAAACAATCAAGGATCCATAAACATCAGCATTATCCATGGCCCAGAATTACCTGAAGCAAATCCTCCTCCTGACTATCAGAAGATAAACAGGGGCCTAATGCACACTACCTCATTTACCTCACTTCATCTCATCATGCAAGCCTTGTATCCGATCACATTATCACAAGAGGAGGAAACAGCCTGGGATTTAGCTCAGTGGCACCTGCCCGCCTCGCAAGCACTAAGTTCTGAGTTCATTCCCTGATACCAAGAAAAAAAAAAAAAAGAGGAAATACAGTAGGGTATTTTGAGACAGACAACATTTACCATTCACATAGATTTTACTGTAGTATATTATTTTAATTGTTCTATTTTATTATTTTATTGTTACTAATCTCTTATTGTGCCTAATTTATAAGTTAAAGCATATCATAGGCATGCACATATAGGAACAAATAATACAACTGGCTGTCCATATCTGCAGGTTCTGTATCCATGGACTTAACCAACTGTGAATTGAAAATATTCTGGAAAAAAAATACATCTGCACTAATTATATATAAACTGCTTTTCTTATTATTAGTACTACAATCATTTTACATAATCTTTACATGGGATAGGTATTATAAGTAACCTACAGATGATTTAAAATATATATTCAGGGCAGGGGGGCTTTAGCTCAGTGGTGCCACTGCCTGCCTTGCAAGCACAAGGTCCCAAGTTCAATCTCCGGTACCAAAATAAATAAATAAATAAATTTATAGTTTATATGCAAACACTATGTCATTTATATATAAGGGACTGAGCACCCACAGATTTAGGTATCCCCAGGGGCACCTTAAAACCAATGTTCTATGGATACAAAGAGAACTTTATATATGTGTCGGCACTATCTGCAATTTCAGGCATCCACTGGGAACATGGAAACATATTCCCCCTGGATAAGAAGGGACTTCTGTAAACCCACATGGGAGGCTGAGATATAAAAGCTATACAGCAAATCAAGCTGGAAATAAAAGCATAAACTTTTATGAGCGTTGCATGTAATATGAAAATCGCATTGAGATTTTAAAAAATAGTAACAATAACAGGGTTCAGCAGAGACAGCTACTATCAAAAAGGAGATTAAAGGTATTGATTAAGTTTATATGTCTATATATTAAGTATGTGTGGTGTGATTTCTAGATCAAACATAAAAACAACAGAAGTATGGAACTTGCAAACTACTAAAGAGGAAACATGGAGTAAAAATACTTAATAAATTGAAGATTAAAAAAAGAAACAGATCCTGGTGTGGTAGCACACACCTATAATTCCAGCACTCAGGAGGTTGAGATGGGAAGTCTGCCTTGAGTTCAAGGCCAGCCTAGGCTGCACAATGAGTTCAAGGTTAACCTGGGCTACACAGTGAGGCTTGTCTCAAAAAAAAAGAAAGAAAGAAAAAAGAAACAAGTCAAAATAAATATTAAGTAAAAAAATTGATGTAAGTTTAAAATCAGCCATATCCAAAACTGTATTAAATACAATGGGTTAATTATACAATTTAATATACTAAAATCTTTCCTATATGCACTACAAAAAAGCCCTAAAATATAATGAGAGAAATACTGAGAGTAAAATATAAACAAAAATATGACAGGTAAGTGCCATATCGATATTACATAAATTACACATTTAAGACATTAGTAGAGAAAAGATAGTCCTTTCATATTAGTACAGAAGTTTAATGCACCAGGAAAATAAAATGCTTTAAAAACTATATTCACCTGATACCCAGGGCTTTGAACATGCTATATAAGTATTTTCCTACTGAGCCATATCCCTTGCCTAGGCAGTCTCAAAATATATAAAGAGGGCCAGGCATTTAACGCAGTGGTGCCTCCACCTGCCTTGCAATCACATGGTACCAAGTTCGATGCCCAGTACACATACACACACACACACAAATATATATATATGATGGTCAAAACTAATAAGTATAAGTAAATCCACAATGGTATTGAAAGATATTAATGTATGTGTTTCAGTAATTGATAGAACTATAATCAAACAAGAAATCAATAAAATAACTATAATTTTCCCATACAGTTTCAAATTAAGAAATACACTTCTACTGGAAATTAGAAAATATTTTAAATGGAATAAAGATGATAAAACTACATATCCAAATTTGAGAGATGCAACTAAGAAATATTCTGAGGAAAAATTTATTTATTTTTTTCTCGTTTTTGGTACTGGGGATCGAGCTCAGGTCCTTGCGTTTGTGAGGCAGGTGGCAGAACTACTGAGCTAAATCCCCAGCCCTGAGGAAAAATGTAAAGGCTTAAATAATGTATCTCAAATGCAGAAAGCTGTCAGGGGATTTAGCTCAGTAGTTCTGCCACCTGCCTTGCAAGTGCAAGGTCTGGAGTTCAATCCCCCATACAAAATAATTTTTTCTTGAAGAAGATAAGTGACCCTTATATGGGCATTCCCTACTTTATTCTCTTTATATTTCTGCATATTTAGGATCTTCTGTAACAGAAAGTTTAAAACGAGTTAAATCCCAATCAACAAGATACATACATTGGTCTCTCTCACTCCTGTGACCTCATCTCCTACTACTTTTTCCTGTGCTTCAGGTGAACACAGTGGAACACCCAGACCACACTTCTGCCTCAGAACCTTTCCAACTCTTCTCTCTGCTTAGAACCTCTTCTTCCAGACATACACATGGATATATGCCTTATTTCTTAGCTTTGTAGTTTTGTTTCTTATCAGACTGGCCTTCCCCAAAGAGTATAAAATCACACACATGATTACATCTTATTATCCAGTCCAATTAGGAATGTAAGCTTTGTGGGAAAAGAAACTCTTTTGTTTACTTATTCCAATACCATTAACATATGTTGAATGAATAGATGAATAAAAATAACTAATGAAAGTATTGAAGGAATAGCCGCACTGTTTGCAATAGCTAAAACTTGGAAACAGGCCATTTGTCCATCAGTTGGAAACTGGATAAAGAAGATGTGGTTTTTCTATAAAATGGAATACTACTCAGCCATAAAGAATGAGAAATTAGAGTCATTCATAGGAAAATGGATACATTTTGAGGATATACTCCTAAGTGAAATAAATAAGTCACACATGTATAAATACTGAATAGTTTCTCTGGTGTGAAAAACTATAATAGTACACAAGATTCTAATGAGATAATTAACAATGTGAAATAGTAACAAAAGGGCTAAAGGTAGGGAAAGCGGGAAGGGTAGGGGAAGGGGAATAAGGGAAAAGAAAAAATATGAGAAAATGAAAAAATGGAAATAAAATGTTTGTAAATGGGGAGTAGAGGAGGGGTGAAGGGAGGGCAGGGACAAGGGAAAAAATGAGAACCAAGACCTGTCATGTAAAGGTACAAGATCCCAATAATGAATGTAACTGTACTGTACACCTAAAATGTACCAATAAGCTCAATAAAAAGAAAAAAGAAAGTATTGAAAGAGCAAGTAAAGAAAACCAAATATTCTAGAATCTATGTATTGTCAAAATTTGTGCAATTTACCTTGTATCTGTTTCTGATTTATGCTTCATCTCTATGATTTCCACCATGAAGAGATCAATAGGATAAGCTGGTCTTCTAACAGCCAAAACAGAATCCACCACAGCCTCAAAAAGAAATAAATAAGAATAGTAAATTAGGTGGTCCAAATAATCATCACAAGATTAAACAGGTAAAGGGCTTGAGTCTTCAAATCATGAGGAAAAGCCAACAAATGCCACTTTACTATGGAAACTAATAAAAAAAATAACCAGTGAATACTTTAGAGTGTAACTTCAGAATTATCAGATCCAAACCCATTATTTGAAGGATAACAAAACTGAAATAAGACCTTGGGAAATTAGTTATGATTTTAAAATCAGATCTAACAGTAGCAGAGCAAGGACTAGAATTGCAGAGTAAGGACTAGAAATTCAGTCTCTAACTGCCAAGTCATTGTTCTTTCTGTCACATCAATACTACCCAAACTTTTCCATGAAAGAGCACCTTAATCAATGGAAAGAAAGGAAATTAATCTAAGAGAAGAGCTCAGATCTGCTGGTTATAAGACATTTAATGATTAAATCTCATATTTTATCATGGAAAGCTTCCATGTTGTGCCACAACATATGCATGTTTGTTTTACTGTGAAAATGATCCTTTCCCCAAAAACCGTAAAGTAAAATTGATACTCCAGAAAGACATGTTCCCTTTATTCTGCCGTGTATCTCTAGGGATATGCAATTTAGGAAGCAGAGCACTCACATCTTGCTGCTTAGCTCAAAAAAGAATACAAAAATAACTGATCACAGAAATTAAAAGCTAAAGTATAACCACCCTAAAATACAAATAAAGCAAAAAAAAAAAAAAAAACCAACAAAAAAAAAAAACACTGTAACTTAGAAAAGTTTACCTGAGGTAACATTATTAATAGTGGAGCTGAGTAGGGAATAAGACAAAGGCCAGTGAGTAATGAGAGTGCCAGTGTTCTTAACCTTCCAGAAGAAAATGGCTGCCCTAATCAAGCAGCATGAAGATCCTGGGCCACCTGAGTACTTCAACAGCAGAAAACACAGCAAGCCTTTCTTCTGACTCTGCTCAGCAAGAAATTGATATAAATCTGATTTCCCGGGAAGGTTCTCCTATTGGTAAGGAGAACTGAGCAGAAACAACTCAGATGTTCCAGTCCATTTGGCATTTGCATTTTTTAATCAAATAAATGAAAAACATTCTGCTTTGCAGGTAAATGTTTTATGCGCTTGTTTGCTATGAATTCATCATCCCTGATAAACCAATATATTCAAGTTTCAGAAACTGCAAAGCTGAGGAATAATAATGACATCACCAAATGATAATAACCTGATAAAAATTTTCTTAAAATACCCATCCAATCTTGTCTTTTTAGTACATCTATTCTACCTTTAGCAGTAAACAAAACAAATATACATTTCCTAAATGTGAAACTATAATGTCAAGTCAATTATGCTTCATTAAACTGGTAACCTAAACTATATGGCACATCACCAATCAACTTCCTCACATGTTACCTCATCTAACAAAACACAGACTGCTAGGGTTAGATGATACAATACCCAAGAGCTTCCACAAGGGACAGTTCACAGGTGACAGTCCACAGGCAGCGAAGCCTCTCTGAACTTTGAAGTCACTAAGAGTTAAAAGAGTTAACGTGACACTTTTAGCTGGGCATGGTGGCGCATGCTTGTAATCCCAGCACTTGGGAGGCTGAGGCAGGAGGATCACTCTGAGTTCAAGACCAGCCTGGGCTACATAATAAGCTCCAGGTCAGTCTCAGCTACATAGTGAGACCCTGTCTCAAAACAAAGCAAACAAAAAAAAAGTCACTTTTGAATTATAATGTTCTAACCAATCAGACCTTCACCTAAAAAATAAACCTATAAATGTCTTCTTTTGTTTTTGATTTTGTTTTTTTCATTCTTTTGTTTTTCCATTCAAAAGAATCACATGCAATACTACAGGCTACCTTATAGGAAAAATAAAAATATCATCATGTGTTAGATGTACTCATTCTGGATATACAAAAGTTTAATCACATACCTCTATTAACACATCTGCCAGATCAGCATGAACTTTCGTTCGCAGAGATGTTCTAGCCACATCCAAGAGGATTTCTCTTTTCATCTCCTTTTTCACTTTAACTCCCTCCAAAATCTCAAGTGCTTTTGTCTTTGCAGCTTCAAATCCTTCAGCTATTATTCTAGGGTGTAGGCCCTATTACATCAATGTAAAATTATAAATTGTAAAGCAAATCATCCAAAGTAAAGGTAATTATCTTCTCCTATTTTAAAATCAAGGAATCTTCTTGTAAAACCACAGTGTAATTAATACTAACATTGACGCATTCATACAGTAACATTATCAAATCTGCAAATTTTATTCAAATTTTACACTTAACCCAATAGTGTCCTCTGTTTTGTTTGACTGTTTGTTTGTCTTTTCCAGTACTAGAATTAAATCCAGGGCCTTGCACTGAGTTGCATACCCTATATGTCCAAAAAAACATAATGTTATTCACATTAATGTTGCTAAATGTGAGTGCATACATATAATTTATAAAAGTTGTTTTTCAGTGCTTCTTTTTTTGGTACTGGGTATCGAAAATTCAGGTCCATTGTGCTTGCGAGGCAGGCAGCAAAACCACTGAGCTAAATCCCCAGCCCTCAGAGCTTCTTATCTGAAATAATTAAATAGAAAAGTTGCAGGTCTGGCACCAAAAAATCTACAAGTCTTTGTCTCTAAAAATTACAACTATGTAGTCATGTGGTGTCCTGAATGGACACCAAAGATACCTTTTAGTGCAGGGGGCAAGAACCAGCATTGATTTAGAGAAATGTGGTAGACAGACACCACCTTCAAGCAGTGATCAAAGTTAATACCACAATAATAATACAGCCCCTGGAAGGATACCTTCAAAAGAACAGAACAATACTTCTGTGGTGCTTCTGCCAAAAATCAAGAACATGATTCTAATTGTGACGAAAGAGACCAAGACAATTAAGGGCCTTTCTACAAAATAATTGGCCTATACTCCTTAAAAGTAGCAATGACATGAAGCATAAGGAAGTTTAGGAACTAAGTCAGCTTAGAGGAGACTAAAGGAACATGATAACTCAATGCAAATCATGATCCTCGATTTTCTATTCTGTAAAGGATACTATCAGCTGGATATAGTGATGTACATCTATAATGCCAGCTACTCAGGAGGCTGAGGCAAGAGGATTTCAAAACCAAGCTCAGCCTGGGCAACCTAATGAAAACTTGCCTTAAAAAAAATTAAAAATGCTGATATCTGTATGAGAACTTGGGTCCAATCCCCAGTATGGGAAAAAAAAGAGAAAAAAAAATACTATTGGAACAAGTGGTAACATTTGACTAAAACCTGCAAATCAGATAAGAGTATTATATGAATGTTGGTATTAATATTAAGTTTCTATTTATGTACTTATATAAGAATATGGTTACATAAGAGAATTCGTTGATTTTAAAAATATACTAGGGCTTGGGATTTAGCTCAGTGGTTCTGCTGCCTGCTTTGCAAGCTCCAGGTCCCAAGTTTGATCCCTGGTACCAAAAAAAAAGGAAAAAAATCTAAAAATATACAAAATATTTAGATCATTTCTGTCACTTACTTTCATACCATTCAGAAAAAGATAGGTACACTAATATATAATATATATTATGTATATATCAAGAGAGAAAGGCAGGCGGTAGAAAATAACAGGAAATTTGGATTAAAAGTATATGATAATTCTTTGTAATAATTTACAAATTCGCCACAGACCTAAAATTCTGCAAAACAAATTTGTATAAATAGTGTTATTGTGCAAAATACACAAACTTTGTGAAAGCTAGCACAGGCACCAATTAATTCCTTCCATTCCTTTATAACACACCTAAAATGATACTGAAAAGTTGGCATTAACTGAGCATTTGTGCTAGGCACTATTCTAGAATAGGGCTTTACATGAATTATTTAATTTAATTTTCTCAACATTATAAAGTGAATGTTGTTATTCCTACTTCATGCATGGAGACCAAAATGTAAAGGGATAGTATAATTTGCCTTAGATCAGCAAGTCAGTTAAAAAGTGGAGGCAGAGTTTAAACAAAAAATATGACTCCATCGCCCATGCTATTACCACTTTCAAAAGTTTCCCTGACCTAGGACCTTAAAATTGTTCCTATGAACTACTAAAAGGACCTCTAGTTCTTTAAAATTGTCCCCCAAACCAGGCATAGTGGCACACACCCTGTAATCCCAGCACTCAGGAGGCCACAGCAAGAGGATTGCCACAAATTCAAGGACAGCCTGGCCTACATTAGAGTTCAAGCCCAGCCCAAACTGCACAGCAAGACCCTATCTCAAAAACAAAATGGACCCAAATATTTAAAACGCCAATCTGACAACATCCATCATTAATGTGTTGCTATCTTTCTTCTGTTCACCACAGGATAAAGTGTAGTTTCTTGGCTACACACTCTCTGTGATCTGTCTCCCATCTGTTTCTCTAACCTCTTCTCCGCTACTGTCCACATCACTTTAAACTCTAGTGACACCAAACTGCTTATATTACAAAGAATATCCTGTTGTTCCTGCTACCTGGAATGCCATTATCTTCATCCTTCACTCTTTGATCTGGCTTTCTCCACCCTGAAGATTTAGCTCAAGCCTTACTTCCTCTAGTAAGTGCTTCTAACTGCCTCAGACCGAATTAAGATATCTGTCCCTCCTCAGGATTTCTATCATCCTCCATTCACACACATTATATCATTCCTGTCAGTACTTCACTGTTCCCAAACTCCTCTCTTCCTAACCTAACCCTAAGTTTGTCTGAGTGTCCTTCATCCACCTGTTTTCAGAGAAAACTAACCAATCCCCTACTAAAGGAGTGAACTGTCATTAATCTATGTCAATTTTCCTAAAAACTGTTATTTGTTTAGGATGAGCACAAGACACAAGGATGGGCAACCACACTAGAAAAAAGGATTTATGTTCCACAGTTGGGTGAATGGTTTTCTCTTGCCTTCCGCTGTTGAGTATTATCAAAGGAAGCAAGTAGCACTGATTTCCTCTGACAGCCTTAACATTCAAGATGGAAAAAAACCTTAGGATGAAACAATATTTCAAGTATTCAGAGCTAAGAGACAGAAGGAACCTGGGTACTTTATAACTCATTGAACTTTTTAATCAATCAACCTTGGATCTTGCCTAATGTTCTATTGTGGGTGGTAATAATTCCCTTATTGTTTAAGTGTGTTTCAGTCAAGTTTCAAATACTTACAACCCAAAGCACTCTAACCGAGATAAATTGTAGGTACTGAATTAACAGACAAATCCCAATACTAAATGAAACACAAAGAAATAATATTTTAGTACATTGTCCAGGTTATGCTTTGCTGAAGTAGACCCTGAATAAGAAGAAAATTTCAAGTAATTATAGAAAATGCATAAGCAATGCCAAAAAAATAATATAGATTGAACAAAACACAAAGGTATTAAAGTGCATGATGATTTTAGAGTCTGGTGAATGGAGGACTCTGTCTAGGTGATTTATAAATGAAAATAAAACTGAAAAGGTAGGTAAATTATCAATGTGCAAAATATTCAATAATTTTCCAGTTATTTTTCAAAAGTATAAAAGTTTCAACTTTATCAATGGCATTTTCTTAATCCATTATTCATGGTATGTGGGTAATTTTTACCTTAAATGCTTAATTTTTAAAAGAAGTATGTGATTCCAATAAAAGGTATTATTTTGGAAAAAAGAATTCATTATTACTTCCATTTATAATTCTCCAAGAATATCTTGATTAAAACTAACCTGTACCCTCTAACATTAAACCATTTTGTTTTTTAAATTCACAATATGTGAATTCTGTGAAATTTTAATACCTCCGAAATGTAAAGATCAGCTTGTTTTAGTAACTCTCCAATAAGTAAAACATTTGAAGTAGTACCATCGCCTGTAATGTCATCCTGGGCAGTTGCTACTTTTGCTATCAAGGAAGCTGTTGGATGTTGAATTTGCTGAAAAAGTAAACAACAGATTTAAAGAGAGAGAGGAATGAGATTTCTAAAAGGCCAAACAAAACATGATAACCTAAGGGTCAATAGTAAAATTAGAAATAAAATAAGCTTCACTCTACAGGTTTACAAGTTTTACGTTATCAGTACTTAATAAATGTCAAGCCCAAAATTTAAAAATTGAAAACTAATGAGGTTTGAACATTTCATAAGTCTTTGCTTCAGAAGGCAATGACATTTCCAGAAGAAGATTAAATCTTTCAATCTCAAAGATGAATACATCTATGAAAATTGCAATTTTTTATTTTTCCATGATTACAAAGAATATAATGCAGTGTCTTTAAAAGACATTATTAATTAAGCTATTACTTGGACTAAACAAACATTTGAAAATAGCCCAAAATCATTTTTATTGAGGTTTAATCAAAGAAGCCTATCACAAGACTGCAGTAATTAACTGACAGCCTTGATTTAACGATATACAAATTATGCCATGTTCTTAACTAGGGCTTACTAAGGTTCATTAAAGTTAGCAGCATCAGCTCACCATCTCATGTAGCAGCACATTGCCATCTTTGGTGAGTTTGATGTCACCAGCACCAGAAACAAGCCTGTTCAGAGAACAGCGACATTATTAACTTTATATGGCAAGTGGCACAAAACAGGAAACTGGACTTGGAAAATGTCCATCACACTATGGGAAGATAACCATGGTAATTATCACTACTTGAAGTTCACAGAATCACTTCTCCCCAATAGACTTTTAGTGATTTCATTACAAATGTAGCTTTTATGGGCCTAAAGAGCAGATGGTAAGTTATGAACATTGGTCAAAGAAGGCTGAGTATATAAAACATGTATTTGCGAATATCCAACTTTTATTTTTGGCAAATGTTATCATTCACTCAACTTAGTTCCCTCATTGCTCACACTTAATTACCAAGCTCTGTCAGTTCTAAAAATCTAAATTTCTCTGAATCTCAATCCCTTTGCTCCATTTCCACTGTCATCATCATCATCTCTAAAACAGCATCCCAGACATTTCCAAATTTGAATCTACCCTCACAATATGTTTTTCTTTCTGAAAGGCAATGCAAGCTGGACGTGATGGTGCACATCAGTAGTCCCAACAGCATTCAGGAGGCTAAGACAGGAGGCCAGCCCGGACTAAATAGCAAGCAAAATCCTGTCTTCAAAACAAACAAAAATGCAATGTGACTCAGTTCCCTGAGTAAAAATCCTTAAATGATAATTTCATGTTAATTACTTTTAAGTTAAAATGCAAACTAATTTAATAATAACGTCCTTAACCTTTACCATTCTAACCTATGCCTATCTTTCCTGTCACATCTACCACCTTCCCACAAGCAAGGCTTTTGGTTATTTTAGTGCAATATAGTTCTCCCCTTCACAGCCCCCCATAGGATTTATATCATTGGGCTCTTATTCCTGAAATCAGCTAGGAGGCTGGGCTTGGTGGTACATGCCTGAAATTCCAGCACTCTTGGGAGGCTGAAGATCACTACAAGTTTAACACCAGCCTGGGCCACATACCGAGATTCTGTTTCTCAAAAATAAAAACAAAACAAATTAGAAATTAGCTAGGAGGCCCTTACTCCTTTCTCCAACTAATAAACTCATTCTTCTTCTTCTTCTTTTTTTTTGAGACAGGTCTCACTATGTAGTTCAGGCTGGCCTTGAACTCACTGTGTAGCCCAGGCTGGCATAAACTCATAGAGTCCTTAGCCTCCAAAGTCTTAGCCTCCCAAGTCCTGGGATTACAGGCATGCACCAACACACACGGCCCTCAATACTTTTTCAAGATTGATAAACACCATCTGTCACTTGAGAGGCTTTTTTTTCTACCATCAATAAGTAGTCCCTTTCTTCAGTATAATCTTATGCATCTATATACAATTAGCACATCTACCAGATCTCAAGGATAGATCTTTGTCATGCTTTTTCCAGTATCTAGTGCGTGTCTTCTTTTACCATTAATATTAGTTTTCTCATTCACATCAGAGAGTCTCCTCTTACATCCTTTAGCTTTCATCAGTCACTTTCCTTCTTGTATAAAGAAAATAATAGTGCTAAATAAATGGGGTGAAAGAATGAATAAATGTGAAGAGCTGTAGACATAAAGCATTCAAGTAACTTGCCTAAATACTCAAGAGCTAGGGGTGTGTGTGTGTGTGTGTGTGTGTGTGTGTGTGTTTAATCCTACTAAATACATTGGCCAAGGTTTGGGTTGGTATAGATCAAGGATCACAATCTTTTAGAAGCTGTAGGAAGATGAAGGACACTAGATTAAACAGGCCAGAGAACCAAGGAAACACAGCTTTAAAACAACAAAACTGTAGGCCTCACTTTACCAACTAGAGATTAATTTTAAAGTTCCACAACTACTTATGGAACTTGGATTTGAGACCATGTCTGCCTGACTCCAAAGCTCATGACCTTTCCACAACAACACATTACCACGCAGAAACAACACTACTTATCTGTAGTGGGGCTGGTGATGAAACTCAGTGATTGAGCAGGTACCTAACATATGCAAGACCCCAGGGTTCGATATCCAACACGGAGGTTGAGGGGAAAACACTACCTGTGGGACGTACAGACTAAGGGCATATAGTTTTAATGAGTAGGGGAATGGCGAGAGTGGTGTGCAGCTAAGTGGTCTTTTCTCCCCACTACCCCCACAAGGCTAGAAATGCCCTCGGAACAGGAACGAGGAAGGGAAACAGGCCCACAGGTGCGTCTACACGCTCCATTGTCTTCACGAAAAGTCTACTTAATATACCCCAAACAGGCCAGGCTCTCCAACCACTGCCTCACATTTTCATGGTGCCCTTAGGACCCAGGTTGGTCCTCAACACATCCTGCAGCCCTCGGGCGGCGCATATGTTGACAGCCAAAGCCGCCTGGGCCCGCGCCACCTCAGCCTTAGAGTTCACCGACTTGATCGCAGCCATAACCTGACGGTTGCGGACGCAGCGAGACTTCGCAACAGCGACGAGGAATAGGAAGCCACGCCCCTCTCCCGAACTTCGGCCAATCGGAGCAATGACTGGAAGTGACGCCATCACGCCTCGCCAGGACTGAAGTCAGAATCACATCAGATCTGGTCGCAAAGATGGCGTCTTCCGCCTCGGCTCAGACTCAGGCCGGGAAGAGAGTGGTCAACCAGGAAGAATTGAGACGGTTGATGAAGGAGAAGCAGCGTCTGAGCACTAACCGAAAGAAGATAGAATCTCCATTCGCTAAGTACAACCGTTTGGGGCAGCTGAGTTGTGCCCTTTGTAACACCGCGGTTAAGAGCGAGCTTCTGTGGCAGACTCACGTCCTGGGAAAGCAGCATCGAGAGAAAGTGGCTGAGCTGAAAGGAGCAAAAGGAGCCACCCCAGGTTCATCTGCCAGCGCAGCGCTTCAGTCGGCCAAGAGGAAAACGCCAGATACTGAGAACCCTGACGCCAAGAAAGCCAAGGTGCTTCAGGTACAGCCTTCCACATCCGCGTTGTCCACTAACTTTGATAAAACGGAAAAAGAGTCCGCTAGAACCACCCCCAATAAGCTTTCGGGACTCGCTTTACTCCCCGATTATGAAGACGAGGAGGAGGAGGAGAAGGAGGAGGGAGAAGGAAAACTGGGGGGCGGCAGCAAGCAGCTGCCAGACGCACTGAGCAAAGAACACTCACTTTCCTCCTCGCGGGATGCAACAAGTAGTGTGCTGCCAAACGATGCCTTTAATACAAACCCCCCCAAGGCTCCCTTAATTCCGCATTCAGGGTCGATTGAGAAAGCAGAAATACATGAAAAAGTGGTGGAAAGGAAAGAAAACACTGCGGAAGCATTACCAGAAGGATTTTTTGACGACCCTGAGGTAGATGCGAAGGTACGAAAGGTTGATGCCCCAAAGGATCAGATGGACAAAGAATGGGACGAATTTCAAAAAGCCATGAGGCAGGTCAGCACTATTTCTGAAGCTATAGTTGCTGAAGAGGATGAGGAGGGCCGGTTGGACCGCCAGATTGGGGAGATTGATGAGCAGATAGAGTGTTACCGTCGGGTAGAAAAGCTGCGGAATCGCCAGGATGAAATAAAAAATAAGCTTAAAGAGGTTCTGACCATAAAAGAACTGCAAAAAAAGGAAGAGGAGAATGCTGACAGCGATGATGAGGGAGAACTACAGGACTTGTTGTCTCAGGATTGGAGGGTGAAAGGGGCTTTATTGTAAGGTTCTAAAGACCCAAACTTTTTAACAGCCTCTGTCCTGTAATAAGTGCTGTCTCAGTACATCGGTTACTCCAGTCCCAGAGATTTGGGTACCTGTGCTCTTGTGATAAAATGAGCTAGTGAGCAATAGCACTTTGGAAAATGGGTGTAAAATATTTTTGAAAAAAAAGTTTTTTGAAATTTTTGAAGTGTTATATAACATGCCAACTTTTTCACACATTTACATGCTTCACTATTTGAATTGTAAAATTGTTAAGTTGTAAATCTTGTACAAAGTTAAATATATATTAAATAATTCTGTTTTGAGACATTAATAGAAGATCAACAAAGTTTAGATAAATACGCTGCTATTTGGGGTTGTATGTATTTTTCTAATCCCTAAATCAAACTCAAAGTGTTTGGGGGGTTTTCTATTTATTGTTTGCTTTCTTTTTTCATTTTAGGATACAGTACCGCTCATAAACACAGGTTAATTAGTTCTCTTGCTGAGTATTCTTCAAAAAGTTGCTTTAGGAGAAAATTGAGAAAAATATGTTAAACATATACAACATCTTTAAAGTTTCTCAACTAGCCCAATGCTTGTCAGACATATAGGGGTACATGAGAAACATCTGTGGAACTTTAAAATTATGTGTATGAACTGCTTTATGAAGCTTTAAAAAAAAAAGTCAATGCCTGACATGTAACTAAATCTGAGGTGGGGTCCACACAGCTACATTCATGAATGCTCCCAGGTTATTCTAATATATGACAAATTTGGAGAGCAACTGCCCTAAATTCAGAGTCCATTTATACACTATTTTCAGGCTTTGCTTTTTTTTTAAATAACACATTTCATAAACTCTTTCTTGAATGAAATACACCCTTTTATTTCTACCTAATCTAGTCTGAAATTCAATTTTGTGATAAATTAGGGTTTGTGTTTATAAGGTCTATCAAGTATAAAGAGAGGGAGAAGATGTAGCCCAATGGTGCCACACCTACCTGGCAAGTGCAAGGACCTGAGTTCCATCCCTGGTACTGGAAAAGGAAAAAAGCATAAGAATAGTTTTTCCTGCAGTAACATTTGCCCTGTGCTGGTCATTGGTATTTTGTGTGTGTGTTTGTTTTTGTTTTTGTACCAGGGATTGAACTCGGGATCTTGCGCTTGTGAGGTAGGTGGTGGAACCACTGAGCTAAATCCCTGGCCCCATGGCCCTGGTCATTGATATTTCAAAACACTGCTCCCTTTGGAGAGTGAGGTATTCAAACAGAAAAGGGAATTAGTAAAGTTCTAGAGATAGAAATGCATGCCACATTCAAATAAGTATGAACAATAATAATTGAAATTTATTTCTTAGTGTGGGACAGGCATATATATCTAATATATATTGAAATGCATATATATTTATATGTTATATATAGAAATACCACATATTCAAATAAGTATAAGCAATAATAATAATAATAGCTGAAATGTATATATTTCTTAGTGTGGGCCAGTATATATA